ATTTACTTCCTGTTGCCAGAATCTTTAATACTTGAATAAAATAATAAATTGAATTAAGATGCACACATCTTGTATCATTCTCGTGTCACATAAAATGTAGAAAACTAAAGCATAAGTTCCACAAATGTTTTTTTTTCCTCTAGTTTCTGGGGTTAGAACTGTCAGGTTGTTTTTCTTTTTTTATAATCAATGTATATTAAAGTTTTTAAACTATATGTGTGTGTGTGTGTGTGTGTGTGTGTGTATATATATATATATATATATATATATATATATATAAACAATTACAATGAGAAAACACAGGCAGTCTACATCATTCCTTGCTCAAAAGTGCAAAGAATCCAAATGTAGGAAGACATTCAACAGGGTAGCCCTTTCATACACACTGAAAGGTATGCCCACAAAACAGCAGAATGTGAAAATCAATCAAAATCAAAAAGGGGGCAGTCGGATGTCCATTATACAGGAATAATTAAGTTGGGTCATCCACAATACCATTCACACTCATATGAATATCTAATAGAACCAAACTTAACTTCTTTAAATACGTAATGATTGAAATTAGGGGGTGCAGTTATCAAAAAGTTGAACTGTCCAATTTTTTTATTTTTGTCTGTCCGCCCTTCTTGTTACAGAGATGCAATAGAAAATGAGAGGAAATCTCCCTAAAATGTGGGAAATACCATTTTTGACCATCAAAACCAAGCAGATGAGTGAATCTGCTTGGTTTTGAGTCTGAAACAGTTTTGTAAGTTTACCGTATTTTTCGCTCCATAAGACGCACTTTTTTCCCCATAAAAAAGGGGGGGAAATGTCAGTGTGTCTTATGGAGCGAATATGGAGCGGCCGGTCCACTGCCACTGTGTCAGAATACCGGACCGGCCGCTCAGCTCTGCAGCAGGACCTTATGGAGATGACTGCTGACCTTTGGGGAGGTGGGAAGCGGGTACCTGAATTTGACAGGTACCCGCTCTTCCGCGGAGTTGTTCTTTGACCTTACCTGTTCCTCTATCCAGCGGCGCGCTGTCTTCCCAGCTTCTGTAGTGTGGGCGCTGGGCTTGACAGCCGGGTGCCAAGTGCACATGCGCAAGAAGCAGTGCTTTTTGTGAATGGTAAGGCAGTACGTGGGACACATGACAGATCCCAGAAGCCGCCGGACCAATCACAAAGCGCAAGTGCTGCTCACCCATGCGCACTGGGCACCCGCCTGTCATGCCGAGCGTCGACACTACAGAAGCCGGAACACAGCGCTCGGCTGGATAGAGGAACAGGTAAGATCAAAGAACAACTCCGCGGAAGTAAGAGGTCAGCAGTCATCTCCTGTACTGTCCGCAGTCTCTGGTCATCCCTGTGCTGTCCGCAGTCTCTGGTCATCTCCTGTACTATGTCTGCAGTCCATTAGTTCAGAATTTTTTTTTCCTGTTTCTGCCTCTAAAACCTAGGTGTGTCTTATGGTCAGGTGCATCTTATGGAGCGAAAAATACGGTAATTTGATATTTGCAAACTTTGCGGCCAACCCCATTGAAGTCTATGGGGGAAAAATCTTGTCATTCAATTCTGCCTATTTATAGGGCAAATAATCAAAATGTTGCCAAACAAAAGACACATGAAGCTGGGCACTGCCATGGGAGACCTGCCAATATTAAAGGAAAACAGTGTCTCTTACTACAATGAATTGTCAGCTCTCCCTTACTATTTAAAACACACTGACAATGTGGCTGCCTGTGACAAGGTAGTTGGGTTATCCATTTCTTCAAATTATTTTCCTTTGTGACTTTTTTTTTTATTTTTGGTGGCGAGCCTGTGAAGTTTTCTGGGACGGTAGAAGTGGAAACCGAATCTCATTGTTCGTTGTCACTGGAACAGATGTCCCATTGGGAGCTTTTCTTCATGAATGTCTGAAACTGATGTTGCTTCAGTTTTTAATTATTAATACCTTTTTTTCAGGATAAATCTTGCCCACACTCTCAGCAGATCATCTTTGAGGGACACAGAAGAACTTCTGAGAGTGCTGATGCATAATTGGGAACTAAGGCCCCTGTAATTTCGTCCTTGTTTATAGAGGTGGCAGCCCTTACTGACCACCTGACAAGTGCCTGAAATAGGATATGTTGCCTCCTCAGCAACCGGAGACATTGGTTATAGAATCTTTGCAAGATCTGCTAGTCCATAGTCAACATAATTTTTTATCTAGCATAGCTCTTCTGTGGAATAGTACATGTCTGCTATTTATGTTTATGATTTCCCATATGAATAAACTTTATGGTGATTATATATCACAGCTGTTCATAACAAGGACATTGAAAATTTACAAAGGATTTCTATGAATAGAAGTAATAATATGCTTATTTTTAGACTGGACTTAGGACAGTTAATGCCAGTAAAAACATCATTCTATTCAGGGTTATCAAAGCAAATAAAACAAATGTGTGATTTATAAATGTCATATCTATATCAGACATGTAATTAACATGTAGACATGCTATTATTTCTGCTTCCAGTGATTGATGTATGTATCAGTGCATACTTCAGTGGTGTTCATCTTTGTGTTTAAATGCATTGTTAGAACTGATTTGCTTTATTAATATAAATCCATTGGTTGCATTACCTAAACAATATTTTCAATTTAATGATGTGCCAGGCCACATATAATAGTTAGCAGAATAGGCATATTTAGCTTTGATTATTTATTTAAGGTTTATTAAATATCCACAAATGTAATGTGCTGAATATTGTCTCTTAAAATATGTGGGCCACTTCTAATGTGTAAACAAATCAAGAAGGTTTAGTTAAAAAGCCTGTCAGTTTTTTGTGCCCCATTGGGAGATTTCTCTTCACTTATCCTGTGTGCACAATAGTAAATGAGGGGAAACCTCTTCAAAGGGAGGAAAATTATCTCTTAGACAGCTCTCCCAGAAAGTGTCCCGGATGGAAGATTTTTCCTCTGTTGTTCTGATGAACACTCCAGATTTTGGATAGTCATTTACTTTTGGTCCCAGTGACAGTGATCACCAGGATAAATGTAGAGGGTCAATGTACACAGAAAGGATGGACACATCTATAAAAACGTTAAGTGGATAGATGGCACTGGATTCCCAGGACTTTCCTTTATTACCACTGGATGGTGTGGAGATGGTGTTTGATATCCTGTTTCTGGGTACTATTTTGGCAGCTTCTGCACACCAAAGGGCTTCCATGGACACCCTGGTCTGTGATTGGAACTAATGAATGTAGAATGGAAGTATCGTTTGTATTAGTATTTTAGCAGTAGCCTCAAAACTGTAAAAAATAAATGTATTTCTTGTGTTGTTGCTACTGGCACAGCAAATTTGAATGACATACCTCCAGTAAACACCTGCTATATCATGTACTCCTCATATCTATAAAACTAGAAGATAACTAGATATGTTTTTTTATATCTCATTAACCTGGTTGACGTCACTGGTACTTTTTTATTCTAGGGATTTTCTTTCCATGACTCATAGGCACTTTTAAAATCAAGCATGGCTCATGAACTGAGGCAAGTTTTATATAGTTGTAAATGTGGTTGGTGGCGTTGTGTGCAATTATAAAGTAATTTCTGCATGATCAGTAAAGACAAATATTGTCACTTTGATCCACATTAGATCTAACAGCAAAGTACAAGGCACTACTTTAGAGTTTTGCAGCAATAAAATTAGCATTTTTTAATTAATTCTCTGAATTTTGCAGTCCCTCCTGAAGCTGCTCTGAGAAACAGCTGTTTCACTTTGTCTCATTACTGGCACACCCCTGGGTTCTCCAAAGTAACTGTGTAAAAGAAAAGAAATGCATAAAAATTTAAGAACACTGATAAAAGAAGTCTATGAATGTTTCAAGTTCTCTGGCCAAGTGACTGGACAGGAGGATACAATTGGGCCTATGTATATAAAATATGTACAGACTGGAGGAAAGATAGGAAAGAGGAGACATGATTGAAACCTTTAAAAATGTCAAGGAAGTGAATAAGGTTCAGGAGGGCAGTATATCCAATATGAAGCCAGGATCAAAAACACGGAAACATGACCTCAAACTAACAGGAGGAAAGTTCAAAACTAATCTTGGAAAGTATTAGTAGTAAATGCTTGGAGTAGACTTCTGGCAGAGGTAGTCAGTCAGTCAACAGCGAGTGAGTTCAAACTTGCTTGGAACAAACCTAGATCTGTACTCTAAAAAAAAAAAAAAAAACATGAATACATTAAAAAAATATGGGGCAGACTCAATGGACCACTTGGTCTTTTTTCTGATGTCCCTCTTCTATGTTTTTATATACCTATATATCACTACAGATCATTTTATTGTGCACCATGCATGGTCTGTTAACTGGTGGAAATAGATGATCAATTTAATACAGAATCTCATGAACTGGTATGGGCAAGCACTACCAATGTACAATAAAAGATTGTTTTTGGAAGTGGCCTTTCTAACAGCCAATTGGCTACGTTCCCAAACTACTGCATACAAGATTCTTTTTTTTCCTTTTTTGTACAATTTTTATAGGATTGTAGTCTTGAGATATGAGTTCAATTCTTTTTACTGGATAGACAGTATGACTATTGTATTCACCAGCACCAGCGGCTGTCAAAGTGCCCGAACAGCAGCAGCCACTATTCAGCCAACAATTCTCTATCTGACACCTTGATTTTCCAATCAAAGGATGCTGGGTGCACATTACAGGGTATTCTTTACAAAGTTAAATTTCACCATATACACTAATCTCTTCTAAGGTGAACAGCTTGTTTGCATTAGTAAACCAACTTCTTTGTATTGAATAGAGATGAGCGAATTATTCAAAAATTCGATTCGACTGATTCGGCGAATTCGTGAAAAAATTTTGATTCGAGTCGAATATATTCGCTGCGAATTTAACTTATAAAAGGGTGTTTCTAGGCTTCAGAGAGCCTTTATATTAGTGCAGAACACTGTACCTTTAATTTAAATGCCCTTGGAGTCTGCTGGGGAAGAGAAATAATACTGACAGTCAGTATGACATGCAGATGAGTGCCGTCGATCTTAGAATCACCGCACACTTCACTCATTTGGGCAGTCACGGGGCCAAAACCAGAGTGTGGAGCCACAGTGTGGCGGTGAGGCAGCAGCAATGGGAGGCCATACAGCACCCTATGAAATAATGGAAACCCACCAGCAGTGTGAGGAGACCTGAAAGTGGCACATGGCAGAGTGTGGCGATGGAGACAGCAGCAATGGGAGGCCGTACAGGGACCCATGACACACTCTGGACCTGGCAGCAGCATGAGGAGGCGGTACAGGGGCCCATGACAGATTACGGGCCTGGCAGCAGCATGAGGAGTCGGTACGGGGGCCCATGACACACTCTGGACCTGGCAGCAGCATGAGGAGGCGGTACAGGGGCGCATGACAGATTACGAGCCTGGCAGCAGCAACTTGGACAGGAGGACGTTCAGCTTCTGCACCGTCGGGTGCGTGCTCGCAAACTGTTGTCTCTTGGAAACGGATTCCAAGAAAGACTGCTGACGGAATCCGTGAAGAGGAGTAGCAGGAGAAGGAGCATCTGAACGAGCGGAATATGCCAACAAGCGACAACAGGGGCCCATGACAGATTACGGGCCTGGCAGCAGCATGAGGAGTCGGTACGGGGGCCCATGGCAGATTACGGGCCTGGCAGCAGCAATGGGAGGCCCGTAATCTGCCAGCACCCTATGACAAAAAATGGAACACACCAGCAGTGTGTGAGGAGACCTGAAAGTGGCACATGGCAGAGTGTGGCGATGGAGACAGCAGCAATGGGAGGCCGTACAGGGACCCATGAGAGACTCTGGACCTGGCAGCAGCATGAGGAGGCGGTACAGGGGCCCATGGCAGATTAGGGGCCTGGCAGCAGCTATGGGAGGCCCGTAATCTGCCAGCACCCTATGACAAAAAATGGAACACACCAGCAGTGTGTGAGGAGACCTGAAAGTGGCACATGGCAGAGTGTGGCGATGGAGACAGCAGCAATGGGAGGCCGTACAGGGACCCATGAGAGACTCTGGACCTGGCAGCAGCATGAGGAGGCGGTACAGGGGCCCATGGCAGATTAGGGGCCTGGCAGCAGCTATGGGAGGCCCGTAATCTGCCAGCACCCTATGACAAAAAATGGAACACACCAGCAGTGTGTGAGGAGACCTGAAAGTGGCACATGGCAGAGTGTCGCGATGGAGACAGCAGCAATGGGAGGCCGTACAGGGACCCATGAGACACTGTGGACCTGGCAGCAGCATGAGGAGGCGGTACAGGGGCCCATGGCAGATTAGGGGCCTGGCAGCAGCTATGGGAGGCCCGTAATCTGCCAGCACCCTATGACAAAAAATGGAACACACCAGCAGTGTGAGGAGACCTGAAAGTGGCACATGGCAGAGTGTGGCGATGGAGACAGCAGCAATGGGAGGCCGTACAGGGACCCATGAGAGACTCTGGACCTGGCAGCAGCATGAGGAGAGGCGGTACAGGGGCCCATGGCAGATTACGGGCCTGGCAGCAGCAATGGGAGGCCCGTAATCTGCCAGCACCCTATGGCAAAAAATGGAACACAACAGCAGTGTGAGGAGACCTGAAAGTGGCACATGGCATGAGACACTGTGGACCTGGCAGCAGCATGAGGAGGCGGTACAGGGGCCCATGGCAGATTAGGGGCCTGGCAGCAGCTATGGGGGGCCCGTAATCTGCCAGCACCCTATGACAAAAAATGGAACACACCAGCAGTGTGTGAGGAGACCTGAAAGTGGCACATGGCAGAGTGTGGCGATGGAGACAGCAGCAATGGGAGGCCGTACAGGGACCCATGAGAGACTCTGGACCTGGCAGCAGCATGAGGAGGCGGTATAGGGGCCCATGGCAGATTACGGGCCTGGCAGCAGCAATGGGAGGCCCGTAATCTGCCAGCACCCTATGACAAAAAATGGAACACAACAGCAGTGTGTGAGGAGACCTGAAAGTGGCACATGGCATGAGACACTGTGGACCTGGCAGCAGCATGAGGAGGCGTACAGGGGCCCATGGCAGATTACGGCCTGGCAGCAGCTATGGGGGCCCATGCAGATTAGGGCCTGGCAGCAGCTATGATGGAGGCCCGTAATCTGCCAGCACCCTATGACAAAAAATTGGAACACACCAGCAGTGTGAGGAGACCTGAAAGTGGCACATGTTTGGGCATGATTCATGGCGGATTTAGTCAGTTGTGTCAGGAACTGGTGGTTTGAAATCCAGACTAATCCACGCCTGATTCATTTTCACAAACGTGAGTCTCTCCACACTTTGGGTGGACAGTCGTGTCCTCCGCGGAGTTACAATACCTCCTGCCCCACTAAACACCGCTCCGATGCCACGCTACTGGCCGAGGTCCACCTGATGCTGCTGCTGCTGCGCTGGGGTTAGTAATAGTTTCCTCACTGCGCTGGTGAAGAAAGCTACTCATCATCGACTGCAGACTGAGGCAGCCGCTGCTGGTGGAGCTGCCACTGCTCCTACCACCCCACCCCTCCCCTGCTGCCATGGCAGCGGAACGCGAGCGCACAGGGCCCACAGTGTCTGAGGATGGACGTTGGCGCAGAAAGGCAGAGACCAACTGACTACATATGGTGTTTTATAGTACGTTATTTGGCCTCCCTCTCAGCAGCATGTGAAAAAGGCCACCATTTGAACGGTAGCGAGGTCCAACAAGTGACAGCCAAAAGTCATCCCTCTGTCTGATGGTTATTATATTCGGCTGTCGCTACGCAAGCAACCGAGCATGCTATGGGCCATTTGTGCCAAGGAATGCGAGGGACTCCCTGCCTCCATCTCCACAGCATACTGCCACGGTGCGTCTGGGTCCTCTGTCTCCTCCTCCTCCTCCTCTACCAGATGCTCCTCTCCTCCACTCCTGTCCGCTGAGTGAAAAACCACCCATTTCACTCAATAATTCCTGAGCACAAATGTCCTCCTCTACCTCCTCCTCTTCTCTTCCTGTCCTGCCCCCACAGGGTCATGTGGCGTTGAGATCTGTGGCGCCACGTCTACCGCACCCTGACCAGCCATTGTTAACAGCATTTGTTCCAGACGTGCAACAGAGGAATGACGTCGTTCATCCCATAGTCCTGCCGACTCACGAATAGCGTGGCCTCCTCAAAGGGCCTGAGCAAGCGCAGGTGTCCACGCATGAGCTGCCAATGGCTGACATCGAAGTTACACAGGAGAGTACCTTTATCCGCTTGTAACATCAGGAATCGTGATGCCTTTCGCTGTTCGTCAAAGCGGTCTAACATGTGTAGGGTTGAATTCCACCTTTTGCAAACGTCGCAGATCAGGCGATGCTGTGGAATTCCGTTCTGCCACTGCAGCTCCAAAGGTGCTCTTGCGGCAATGTAGGAATGGCTGAAATGCATGCAAATTTACGTGACATTTGAAGGATGTCTTGCATGGATGTTGTTGAGGAACCCTTGACAACCAGATTGAACACGATGAGCCATGCATGGCGCTTGCACAAACCTTCCTTGACGCAAGCAGACACCATGTTCTTTCCGTTGTCGGTCAACATGGTTCCGATTTTCAGTTGCGGAGACAGCCACTGTCGATTTCTCTGTTCATTACACTCAGAATGTTCCTCCACTGTGTGACAACTTCGCCAAGCATACCAGGCAAACAGCGTGGACACCGTTGCGCCCTGCACATGTGATATGCCGGTCGGTAGTTAATGGGACTATGGCACGGGGGTGGCGCTGAGACACGCGGAAGAAGAGGTGGTAAGCGGACATCTTTTGTGACCAAGGTGACTGCAAACGTGGAGGCAAAAGAAGCGCGTGACCTGTCCAATTTGCTGGTGCGCTGTGACGGCAACCACTTTCACCCATTATTGCCGTAAATGACATGTAACTGTCCCTGACCGTAGTTACACCCTTGGTCGCTCCAACACGTCGGCGCTGCCGTGATACACTTGCAAGACCTGACATGCGCAAAGTCTGGCCCACCATCTCTTCTAACATGTGAATGCAGGGCTGGCACTCCTTTTTGAAGCGAAGAAATGACCGCTTGGCTCGGTACTCCACCGCGGCGCGCACAAACCCCATCATTTCTCGGAAAAGTGCTGAAGTTCCACCACTTGGAAAGGGAGGGACTGCAGCACCAGCAACTTGGAACAGAGGACGTTCAGCTTTTTGCACCGTCGGGTGCGTGCTTCGCAAACTGTTGTCTCTTTGGAAACGGATTCCAAGAAAGACTGCTACGGAATCCGTGAAGAGAGGCCTAGCATAGAAGGAGCCCATAATCTGAACTGAGCGGAATATGCAACAAGTTGCAACACAACAGTTTGGAGCCATTGACTGGCTGCTGGAGGCGATTGGGCGTCGGTGCGACGGAGCAAGTAACGGAGCGCCCGTATGGAGCGGGGACCTGGGCAGCAGAACCGCCGGTATCGTTAGCACAATTTTCCCAGGCCAAAACCAAATGGCCAGACGCAGCTATGCTCGGCCCGCAACGCTGGTAGTCCCTATTCACACAGGCCCCCTGACACCACTGCTTGACTTTTCTGGAGACCTGACATAGTCTAGTGCATAACGGCTACCGAACACTTGACCTTTACCTTCTTCGCATTACAAAGCAAGCGAATGTGCCACACAGGGAAGCCGCAGTGGCAGATTACTTTGCCCCGATACTCTTCACTGGCATGACATGCCAAAACTATTCCCGATACCTCCGTGCACCCGCACAGACTACAGGGCCGTAGGTGGTAACCAGTGAGTGTGAGCTGGTAGGCCTCTAACTCCGTGCTGCCAGTGTGCCATCCACTGACACTGATGCGACCCTGCAGTGCCCGTACCCTGAGTTCAAACCCACCGACTGTTTTGCTCGCTGCCAAGCTGTCACCCTCTTCTCCTGATGATGCGGAAGCAATAGCCTGATGACAACGGAGCAGGCCTGTCCAAGTGCGATCACCTCATCATCATCAATTAGGGTCTCCGCCTCACTACTCAAGCTCCCCTCGGCTTGCGTGTGGGTCAGGCAGACAACCTGTTCTCTAGACCAGGCTACCGAGCCACTCTCCTCGCCAGTACTTCTTCGCCTGGCTGCTGAAGAGCTGATTGCCAGTCCCCCTATGAGTTCCTGAAATGTCGCCCTCTGTAGCTCTTCCTCACTGTACCAGATGGGCTGAGCCACAGCAGTGCGATACTTTCGCTTGACTGTGAGGGAACATTTCCAATACAGGGCAAGTAAGTACCCATTTCATGGCTGTTTCCCGGCCCAATGCCAACAACGTTCTGTGTCTGACGTCCCACCGACAGATTGGAGGCCCTGTAGGTGTCTGAGGTGACCTGGGATTGACAAATCTGTCCAGCGCATACCATCACGATGAGGCAGCTTTGTCGGGGAGAACAATTCACCCCTGATGACACCTGTGTCCCTGAGTAACAATTCAGGCCTCTGTGCATAACTAGTCTGTCGTCCCCTCATGTAACAATTTCTGTGTCCATCATGTCTGAGAGCGTCTTTCTGTGGCCCTAATAACAGGCTCTCATAACAATCTGTTCCCTCAGTAACTAATTCTGTTCCCCTTCAAGCAATTCTGTGGTCCCTAAGGTAAACAATTCTGTGTCCCTCATAACAATTCTGTGGTCCCTCAGTAACATTACAAATCTAACTGTCCCTCAGTAACAAATTCTGTGTCTGACCCTCAAAGTAACAATTGGCTGTGTCCCCTCAGTAACAATTCTGGTGATACCCTCAGTAATCAATTCTGTGTCCCTCAGTAACAATTCTGTGTCTGTCCCCTGAGTAACAATTCTGTGGCCCTAAGTAACAATTTCTGTGTCCCTCAGTAACAATTCAGTGTCCTCTCAGTAAGATCAATTCTTGTCCCTCAGTAACAATCTGTGTCCCTAATAACAATTCTTGGCCCTCATAAGCAATGTGCTTGTGTCCCTGCAGTGAAAGTGCAATTCCATTTAAAATGTGTGTCCCTGAAGTAACCAATTCTTGTCTCCCTGATAACAATTCTGTTCCCTGCATAACAATTCTGTGTCCGGTCCCTGATTAACAATTCTGTGTCCCAGAGTAACAAGCGCTGTGGCCCTGAGTAACAATTCTGTGTCTGTCCACAGGACAATTCTGTGCCCACCTTTCTCATGCAGTAACAATTATAGTCCCTGTCTACAAATATCTGGCCTCCTCAGTAACAATTCTTGCGTTCCCTCAGTAAACAATTGTTGTCTGTCCCCTCACTAACAAGTATCTATGTCTGTTCCCTCAGTAACATTGTGTGTCTGTCCCCTGAGTAAACAAGACTGTGTCCCCTAGTAACAATTACTGTGTCTGTCCTAAGCCAATCACAATTCGGTGGCCCTCAGTAACACTTTCTGTCTGCCTGAGTAAACAATTC